CCTTTGTTTCTTCATTCTTCCCTGTGCGCGAGCTGAGGCAAAGAGAGAGCGTCTGTGAGCGTGAGTCGTCGGTGCAGAAGATCTGAATTTTTAAAGTAAGAGTTTTTAATAGAATATTTAAGGTGTGATTTTAAGCTTTTCAAGACTAAGTAAGTATTCTAAAAAATTTTCTTAGTCATCCTTCCTCTTTAGTTTCTGATTTTGTAGTGGTAGAAAATTTAGAATCTGGAAGAGAGATGAATTTATGTTGAATAAATATGATTTTTGGGATTGTTAGTAGTATAATAAATATTTTAGATCATAAATTTATTGATGATCTTTGAATTTGTGGCTTATGGATCAAATTCTAAACTAGATTTGAAAATATATGTTGATTTATTGAGGTTTAGATGATTATTTGGGATGAGAAATGAATTATTATGGCTATAAGATTATGATTCTAAGCTAGAGATTTAATTTTTAATTTTTGAATATTTTAGGTGCGAATTTATGAAATAAAAAGAAAATTTTGATAATAGAAATTAGTTTAGAAGTTGATTTTTAGATTATTAATGTTTATTGATGAGTAAAAGAGGAGTTAAAAATTTTACTTAATAGTATTAACTCTAGATTTGTATTAAGATTGAGATTAGAAATTATGTTATATTTTTAATTCTATTATTAGAATTATTTTATTAGTTTCAAAAATTAAAACTAATATTTATAAATAATATGTTAATTGTAGATTGTATTATTGGTGAAAATTGTGGTGGGAGAGAAATTGTAAGAAATAATTTATTAAAAAAGCCACGAGGTAACCATGCTTTTAATTTTTAATTAGTGTTACTTCATGTTAATTGGGTGATTATTGAGAAAATTATGAATTTTGTAATATTGTATAATTGTGCAATATTATTATGAATTTGTTTGATTATTGTGAGAGGTGTTGGGAGACTTGCTATTATTGTTGTATTTATGTGCCACGTGGTACGCTCCTATTGGAGCTCAATAGGTGGCTTGTAAGGGCTCGGGCTAATCTACCTTTGGCCAGGTAATTTAGCACCGAGTGAGGGTTACAGCTCAAGATTAAATTTAGATCTATTTAATAGATTAATTTAAACTATTTTATTTAATACATTTAAGAGCCAACCAAAAACAATTTAACTTATTTTCATAAATTTAGTTTAAGATATCATACTTGATAAGATTATTTCAACTTGATTTTGTCTCATAAATTCAAATTTTAAAGCTTATATGATATCTTTTTGTATCATATTAGTTATTAAATTTATTCCATCTTATAGAAATAAATTTAATGCTAATATAATATAACATAATTATAATATACATATATATACATATGTGTGTATGTATTATATAATACTAAATTTGAATTTTATATTATATATACATATAAATATTTATCACAGAGATACACACACATACACACACACAAATATAAAATAAATTAAAATGTTGTATTCATTGAATCTAGACACAAATTAGATTTAATAAATTTTAACATTATGGCTCGAGTTGGGCCCTTCTTATACGCAACCCTATAAACCCATATAAAGTTGGTGGTACGCTAATAGCATCATTAGTCCACAAGTTGCAAGCGACCTCTAGCAAGATATTGCAACTACTTAAATCACATAAGGATCGATAATTTGATACAATCTGTAATATAATCATATCACATCCTTTTTGTTACGCAATATTTCAGTCAAGTATAAGGTATGAAAATGTCATCCTCCTTTACGTGATTATTACTTTCTTAATCCCTAAGTAGACTAACTATAGAAATGGAAACCCTTTTTCATTGTAACATGGCCATGCATTTTTCAGTCTCACTCATTGAAGGGCCCAATAACATCTCTCTACTAATGTGAGAGACAAATTTCATCTTCACCATTCACATTCCTCTACATGAAATCCACAAAACTTGATCATAGCGTTTGATCACTCGATCAAAAGTAACTTTTGATTAAGTCATAGCGATCCTCATATAGGAATTCTTAATGATCTCAGGTCAAAAGACTCGATAACACGATTATATATAAGATAAGTTTATGACTTGATATATGCAACTTTCTCATGGAAAGTTGATCCAGCACATTGTATTTTTACAAGTGCCTATGATATTGATTTGTGTCTCCAGATATCAATCAAAATCATACTAGTCTTACTTCATCTTTATTCCCCTAAGGATAATTGATAAGGGATATTTAGGACAATTACTATGATTTATCCTAGGATGCAATTACCATAATGAACATATAAATAATATGGTAATAAAAAAATTCATTATAAATTACAATGTTCATAATAAAATGATTGGCTTAGGGTACAATTTCTAAAAGTTGTTTCATAGCACTCTGTTTCCTTGAGATGGCATCTCATCTTTTTTATCCTCCATGTAGACATTGAATATCTCATTGCCATAGGTGGGCTCTTGAAAGTTTTGAAGCTTTTTTTTCTTATTTCATTTGCAAGGTCAAAAGGTGGTCAGTCAAGAAGTTGTTTTCAGTGTCCACTCAAATTCGGTGACATCTTGGAAAAGAAAAACTAGTAGCCAGCGAGACAGAGAGAGAGAGAGAGTATAATCCTAGAAGAAACTAAGAAGAAGGCCTAAACGAAATGAAACTTCAGCTTGACTCCCCTTTCAACATTGACAACAAGTACAAGATAGGATATGCTGTCCTGCTGGTAAGGAATGCTTACTCAACTGAAAAACAACACCTATGTGTTGGACACTATTCCTCTTTTTTGTCACGAGCAAGAGAGATAAAAGAATCCAACCTTTAGATTGCTCCAGCTAGTTGCTTTCAAGTTGTACTTGCCTTTTAATTTCAAAACACAAAATTGACAATAAGTATTTTTGATTAATCACTTAGAGGTTATATTACAACATTGCCTTTGTTCGTTTTGCTTGCTTTTCATGTTTTTGACGTTCTAGGATTTCTTTCTTGATGGTGGGTTTAGGAACAAGTAGATACTTTCAAGTTTACATTGTTTTACCTAAAGCAATGGTTTTTCAATTCCCATAGGGATATCCACTATGTTCATACTCCTTCAGCTCCTTTAGGAACTTGAATGTTTGTAGGTTTTGGAGTATGTTAACTAAAGCTAATAATTTGGTCCAAGAACGACGAGCTGGCTCAAAAAATCTTAGGGTCGATTTAGGAATTTTAAAAAAATTATTTACTTTGAGCTTATTCAAGAAGCTTGAATAAGTCTAAAAAAAATTGAGCAAAGCTTGAATTTAAATAGGTTTAACGTGATTCAAATTCTTTTTTATTATTAATAAAATAAAGTAAAATTTTTAAAATTATTTTTTAGATAAAAATTGAAATTGGCTATATATATAATAAAATAATATTTAACAATTAAATTATTTAGGACAACCCAAATAAACCCAAAACCCTTAAATGTTAAGGGCAAACTTTATTATATAAGGCTTTTTAGATATTCAAATGTTTTAAGTTCAATTTTAATAAGCTTGGTGCGCACTCTTGAATTATTGGGCCTAATTTTTTTTAATACAAAGCCACGGCAAAGCCGTGCAAAATAATTATGGTCTAGTTATATCTAAAACTATGAGGTTATTACAGTCTATCGGAGGAAAATCCAAAATCGTAACGTTGAAAGTGTCATGCATCGACTGATGAGCTAATAAGTCAGCACATCTATTCGTTTCTCTATAAATGTGGTCAAAAATAATAATCTAGTCTCTCACTATGAGATCTTTGATCTTCCTAATGATACTTGATAATGGATGGCTTCTGTGATATTCTCTATTGATAAGTGATAATGCTTTCATAGAATTGGTATGGATATTGATTTTAGTTAATTTCATATTTTGATAGAGATTGAGATCTTTAAAAATTTTCATAAATTACTGGGCTTAATTTTAACTCCAACACCCAATGTGATCCATCTAATGTGTTATGAGTTTATTTCAATCAATGATGGCTCTTTCGCGGCAAATGGTTTTCCTTGGATCAACTCGTTTATTTTTGTTTTTGTCGTTTTCTGTTTCTACTTAGTTGTTGTTGTTTGTTTCTGTTTCGGCCCAGTTGTTGATTGTAATTTTTACGGCCTTCTATTCTGTTTTTAGTTCAAGGGCCTAAAAAAAGACTAGAAGTATTCCTCTTGGGCTTTTGTATTCATTTACTTTGTTCAAAAAATGTCTTTGTCCCAAAAAAAAAAACCAACAGCAAACATTTCAACTTTCTAATTATTTCCGATCCTGTTTACTAGAGTTCCAATGCGGTGGCAGAGAGATGCTTTTGTTAAAAACAAAAAAGTTCTTCACATGATGTTTTTGTCTTTTCACATTATAAATACATATTTCAATTAAAAATTATATCAAAATCAATTTCAGTCTCAAACACGAAACAGTCCATAAGATTCTGGTTAGCATGAGATACATATCCTAACCATATCAAGTTTCTTATCACCAGTAAACATACATCAACAATAAGCAAATACTCTCTTCCATTTTATCTACAAGACAAAAAGAAAAAATTTTACTCTCATTTAGAAACTATGTTATTAATTTTTTATCATTATTTTTTCATTTTACCCTTTATTATATGTTGGTGAGAAAAAAATATTATTAAAGGATGTGTATTTAATAAAAATTGAGTTAAAAATTTGTTAATTTTTTAGACATAATTAATAAATTTTAAAGTTTTTTTAATTACAATAAAATATATTAAAAGTAACTTATAAACATAAATCAATTTCAGTGTTCATCACTCTGATTAAAAAATTTACAACATTTAATTAAACTATCTAAATTAAATCTATACTGTTCAAATAGATGATAAAGTGAATTTATAAAAAATTTTATAACTTTTATTTTAATAAAAATAAAAATATAACCTTTAACATTGGACTCATATTTCATCACTCTAATGAGCACCACACTAAAATTGGTTCCCTTATAAATAAGAGGAGCGAATTAAGAGATAAGGAGCCAAAGTAAGATACAGCAGAAAGGTTTCAAAAGATCGGAAGCGAAACAGTATCCTCTTTATAAAAGGATAAGAATGGATACAACAATCATGAAAGGATGGGATTAATATATAAGATTGATTATACATACATTGCATGAAAAAGGGCTATGTGAAACAAAATCGTTGGAACAGACTACACTGAGCAGCATGTTATACAGCCTGCAGAATCGCATATGAATGTTAGTGGCATAAAGGCACAGATCCTAAAGGTAAAACCTGGTTTTCGATCCTCAGTAGTAATGGAGATGAAAAAAAAACATCTAAATGGTACAAACAATACTCCACATCCTTAATCCACCACATCAGCACTTTCCTCTCCCTCAGTTCCTGCATATCAAAAAAGGACCAAGTTCAGCAAAGGCCTATGACCTCAAAAATCTATGCTGTCATGAAGCACCGTTCTGCGCTATTAAACATCACATGGAAATATATAGTCAAGTAATCATGAACGTTAAAATTTAAAAGTGTGCAGAAAATTTTATGAGAGGCCATAATAACTGTTACGAACATATTCTGAAAATAAACTCTTTTTTGTTCATATTATAAGGCACCTCTAATCACTTCATCAGAACCAACAAGGGATAGGTGGTTAAGTTATTAACATCATTTGAAAATAAAATAAACTTTCAATTTCACCCTTATTTAAATGGAAAATTTTTAAATTTGCATTACATTCTCTCTCATAGTTAATGATTTCAAATTGGAGTAATATTGGAAAAACGGAATTAATACCCCATCAAGTATCTTATATTAAAGATCAAAAAAATCCTTAAACAGGACCGGAGGGGGTAAGTTACAGAAGTCATGAACTCAGGAAGTAAACTGATTCATGCCATCTACAGATAGATGCAAGATTCAGGCTATTGGGAGCAACCAAACACCCAAGCAAATAACAGAGGATTGGTTCTATTTCAACCATCCCATTATCTTCTTTCCCATACTTTTGAATTCCAAATCCCAACATAGAACCACATCTAGAAGTTAGATATAACAAACTGTGAACAGCCTCAGTGTTCAACACATGCAGAATCAAGGACATTGTAATTTAAAAACTCTATAAGATTTAATAAGGCAAAAGTGCTCAAACTCTCAAGAATATAGATTCCCAAAGAGTCACCTATGAATCTACATGGTCTACAATCTAGATAACTAAAGCCAATTGATGAGTGATGAGATGTTTCTCAGGAGCAGCACAGTGTTCAATTGAAGAACTACTGATTAAATAGAGTCCATGCAATTTTGGCTACTTTAATAGAATACTTCGATTGAAGATAACTTGAACGACTAGATGGCATTTATATTCTGCAGAGGCACAAGGAATGGTATGCATGGTGTGTCAAAAAGTATCTCTTTGCATGTAAAATAGATGAATGGTGATGTATTTCATATTTCGGACCTTAAATTCTTCAAAAAGACAGAATTTTCGCACTGTATGATTATTTTCCATTGACATTTTGCAGAGCAATTAATGTTTTTAATATTCTCCCAAAGAAATGCAGGGGATCAATCTCCCAGTGAAATCATCATGCATTAAACAAGCACAATCTATTTCCAAGGCATGTTAAAAGAAACCAAATCTAAGGAACTATTGCTTCAAATTGTATCATATTGAATATGAAACAACAGAATTCAACACTACTGAGTGCCTGTAAGAGTGAAAATTGACAATGCCCCATAGAAAAATCAGGGAGTTGCAGCCAAGACCATTGATGCTTAAAAATGGAGTCATATCGCTTCTAATATATTATGCGATACTCCAAAGTCCAAATTGCATTAACATCTTGTTTTGTAACAATGTAACCATATCCATATTCATGCATCAATTAACGTTAAGCATAATGAATGATACTAAGATCACAACTTTTTTTTATTAATTATTATTATTATCCTCAAAGCTTACCTTCGTCACCTTCAACTTCACCATCTACTTCATCTTCATCCTCATCCTCAGTGTCTCCAATGTAATCAATCCCATATCTCTCATTCAAATAATCTACAGCAGAAGGCGTTAGCACCAACTTATCAGCATTCAATATGTCGTACAAATTAAGCGTTCTAGGCGTCAACATCTTCAGAGTCCCAATGTTTCTACTCGAAAGCCTCAAATTATCCGAAACTTCAGTGAGCAAGAACATAGACTTCTCCTTCGGGTCAAGCCCCCACCTCTTCATTGCCGCAATGAACTCCTTCGTCTTGGGCTTCTCAAACTTATCCCCAAATTCTTCCACAACAATCGTATTCACCGCCGCGCTAGACAATGCCGTAGAAATCGCCAATCTCTTCTCCTTCCGATTAATCTTGATGCTCCAGTCCCTAGGCTTAGGCCCGAACACAACGCCTCCACCGACTCGGAGCGGGGTCCGATTCGACCCACGACGAGCACGGCCGGTCTTCTTCTGTGGGTAAGGCTTCCTGCCACCGCCACTGACCTCGGCGCGTGTGAGGGTGGAGGCAGTGCCTCGGCGCTTGTTCTGGAGGTCAGTGACGACAGCACGATGCACGACGGCGCGTGCAGTGTCAGGTGGCGCGGCTTTGAGGTCGAGGTGGGTTTCGCCGACTTTTTCGCCGTCGAAGGAGAGGACAGGGAGTGTGGCAAGCTGGGAAGTGATGGAGAGCGATTTGGGGGTAGTGGGAGTAAAAGAATTGGGTCTGAATGTGAATGAAGCGAATCTGTTGTGGGGTTGGGAGGAAGATGATGAGAGGAAGATAGAGAATGAGAAGAAGGAGAAGGATGGTGTGGTCGCAGAGGAAGCCATTTTCGTCGGATAGAGCAGAGAAAGGAGGAGGAAGGGGATGAGCACCTCGACTCGAGTCTATCCGTTTAATTTTTCTTCTTTTTTGCTTTTTTTTTCTTCTGTTTTTGCGTTTATTTATGATTATTATTATTATTATTATTATTTTTGGACAAAAGATAAAAAGGCTCTCCGTTTGATTCACCAAACACGGACTTAAGCTGTTAAATTTTAAAAACAAAAACAAAACAAAATACCAAGTACTGAAAAACCGATCATTAAATGGGTAAAAATATTTATTTAAGAATTACTTATTAAAATTGTAGTATAATCAAGTCAATTATAAATAAAAAAATTTTATTACATTAATTAAGAAATTAATTTAATAATTTATTAGTTTAACAAGATGAGTTGATATAATTTTTAGATTATACAAAAACAATTAAAAATATTGAAAAAAATAGAAATAAAATTAACTAATTTTATTAATATCAATATCAACATTAATATATAAGTCTATAACTAAAATCTGAGCTAATAACTTATTTCTCAGTCTTAATAAAACATATTTAATTAACTTAATTTTTTTTAAAATTCTGATTTCATCAAAAACAAAAATTTAATATATTATATATTATTTGCAGAAGAAATTTTAAATTTTTAATTTATAATTCTAACTAACACTTTTAGCTCATGTGACAAAAATGTAGATGCTGGCAAAACAAAACAAAAGGCGATAAAAATATAGATGAAATAAGAGTCAAATGTTGCGTAGCTTAAAATTTTGAAAATGTAAAATCATCCAAGACTAATCTAGATGATAAAGATGGAGTGAAATGCATATATAAGTGAAGAGTTAAAATCCTTCTAGTATATAAAAAAACTCTCTCATATAACAAAAAGAAATTGTTCCTGCAAGCAAAAAGTAAATATTTTCTTATAAATTATAATATATGGAAAATTAAAAAAAATTACTCTCACATCAAACTTATAAGTTCTATATATATATATATATATATATATAATTCATATATATTAAAAAATTGGAATATTTACATGGCATCGTATCGCCTGGTTCTCACAAATAACAAAAAGTTGTTTAATCACAAGACTACTAGTTTAAGTCTTCCTTTATAACAAGCACGAGCATCAGACGAAGAGGTTCTCTCCAGTTCTGCCTTCCTCTTCTGGTGCGATTCTGCTAACATTTGAGGATCCTATTCGCTTAACCGACATGAATCCTGAATAGTATGTTTCTCTATCCATTTCTTTTTTTATCTTCAATTTCTTATCGGTATCGATGCTTTTGGGGACCTGAAGCATCGTTATTTACGTTCGGCAGATTTATTTTTATTCCCGATTGTTTGTTCTTTTCGTGGAGAGTAAGTGCGGTTGTAGTTTGATGGTGCTTCTGGGTTGGTTGGCTGTTTTAATCGAAGATTTTCGTGCGTAACCCTAGATTGATCAACTTTATGAAACCAGATACGATTAATGAGGTTGAAATTCTAGTAAATGTTAACCATGGGTTATGTTGGAATGCTTGTTTTCTGATTGTAATAACGATTTCAAATCTTCAGGGTTCTTTCAATTTTGTCCCCTTTTATCTTGGAACAAAAATTTATCACTTTTGTTGGTAATTTTCTTGCCTTGCTTAAAATTTTGATTAGATTGGAGATGAATATTCCATGTTATCTTTACACCGAATGGCTTGATTTTTTTTTTTTTTTGTGAACAAGACCCAATTGACTGAATTGAATTCTGGTATTATTCGATGTTGGAATCAACAGATAGCTGCACCGACATACGATTGTGTTATATAATTACTATCTCTGAGGCCTAAATTACGGCAGAGTTGTATCTTTGTTTTTTAACGACTCCCTCGTGGAAGATGTATTTGCTATATGGTTTGACTTTACTATCAGTCTTCCTAAATCTGAAAATTAGGGGGGCTTGTATATCATCTACCCATCTTTAGATTACAATTGCTGTCAACTGTAACAGTTTCTGGTGTGGTGCGAATTCATATTGAGGCTCTATGTTACAATTTCATCTTGCTATCCATGATCTCTTTTCCATATACCCATTTGCCAATGAACACAATAATGATCCCCTAGGTAAGGACTTGAGGAAAACATGAATGGGTAAGCTTTGTGGATGATTTACATTGGTTATGCAATACAAATACTCAAGTATCTAAGCATTTATATTCTCTTAAACAATCACACACACACACACACGCATTTTAGATATATGAGTTAGTTTTATGAGATATTTTTTAAAATAATCAATCACTTATGAATAAGTGCATGCTGACATTTCATGGCTACCCTTTAATGTAAGTTTTGGGCAGTCAAATTACATCTATTTTAATTGAGAATGTTAATGAACTTCTGGCTTCATTGCAGTGATTATTTATTCAAGCTCCTTCTTATTGGAGACTCTGGTGTTGGCAAGTCATGTCTTCTTCTGAGATTTGCTGTAAGTTATTATTATTTTATTTCATGTGATGCTATTTAGTATCTATTACTACTACCTGTTTTTTTGTGACATGGTATTTTGTTCTTTTTGCCCCCGGTTTACCAGGCCTTTCTTCTCTTCTAGAAAAATGTCTTTACATGTTTTGAAACTTCCTTTGGGTTGATCAGTGCAGTATCTTGTAGCTGCAACATTTTACCAATAAATATTGCATGCTCTGTTCTTTGGTCTTGGTTTTATTTTGTGTTACAATTTTGTTAACCCAAGAAATGAAAGAATGAATTTTTGAGCTGACCTGGAGGCTGTCTTGGAAATATATCATCTCTCTTCCTTTGTTTGTATTTAAACACATGCCCGCTGTTGAGTGGATGCTTGAAATCATTTCAGTATTTCGTTACCTCCCTCTATTCTTCCCAAAGAATGTTAATACATCCTTCCAATAGTTTTATTTAATTGGGGGAAATGGTAAGAAAGAGGCCCCTATCAGATACCATCAGTTCATGAAAAGCATTTAGTTCCTGATAAATTGTCCAATAGTGTTGCTTTGGTTGAAAGCAACTACGATTGTTCCCTCCCTCTAAAGAAAGAGACCTCTATTATATGGCATCAGTTTTATGGTTTTACCCTGGATAGGTTGGATGCCATTAAAGTTAGCTCTCATGGATTTTTGAAGACCTTAGGATTGGATGGATGTGTTTCCCTTTGAGATGCTCTTAACTCTGTCATCTGTATTCTTGGCACTATTGTCTCTACCCGGCCCCGCCCCCACAAAAAAAAAAAAAACCAGCCTTTCTACCACTCAGGTGGCAGACCAAAAAAAAAAAAAATCAACAACCCAGCTTTTCTACCAAACATGAGGCTCTTTTTTATCTGCTTGGAAAATCAATTTTATTGTAGTCTAAACAATCGACAACCAACAGCATTGAAACACCATTTATATTTTCTTGATTAAGTTCATTTGTCTTTTTGGTGAGATTAGTGTCAATGGTTCAGAGTTTCCATTCATCGAACTGAATCAGTTTACATCGGTATACAGTTCAGGTCTCTGATTGAACCGGACTAGTTGTCTAACTTATGTGGCCCTGGGTTTAAGCCAAGTAAAATGTATGGATTAGTCTTTAAACAGTGATAAAATCACCTTGTAAAAGCCTCTTAGAAATGTTAAAGTTTCCTCTATATGACTAAGCAATTTATTTCTAGCCAAAAAAAAAAAAGAAAGACTAAGTAATTTATTTGGACAGAACTACTTAGTAGGTTAATATTGATATGTTGCAATTTGGTAGACCAAACAGGGCCTTCCTAGCTCATGGTTTTGTCTTAGAAACTGCAGTACGCCTATTTTATGTTTGCCTGGTTGTTTTATATCCTTGGGCAAAGGAAGACATGTGGAGTGACTGGCTTGTTCTTTTATGTCGATGTCATTGTATTTGTTTCATGTTTCTGTAGCTTTCTGTCAGTACGATATGTTTTTAAGCTTTTCTTTTTCTTTCTTCTAACTTTCCTTTTCTAATAAAATTCTCCTTTCCAAACATGTTTGATGTTATGGAAGGTTCGTGCTCAATGCAGTCAACTGCATGTTTGCTTGATCATAGTGATAATACATACTCCATAGATCTAAATGCAGTAATTTGTACTGTTAAGTTGCTAAACTTCTGTGTTTGACTACAGGATGATTCATATATTGACAGTTACATAAGCACCATTGGAGTAGATTTTGTGAGTACAACTTCTCGAAGTTTTAGCTTGAACTGATTTGGAATGTTTCTATAAGCTGACATTTTTTCTTTTCCGTGTAGAAAATACGAACTGTTGAGCAAGATGGGAAGACCATTAAACTTCAGATTGTATGTATCTAATTGGATTATGTTATGCTGTTATATTTTCAAGAGGCTGCTGCTTTGTATTTTAATTTTTATACAATTTATCCTCCCATGCGAATGATATGTTTGTTTTTATAAGAATTCCCTTTCATAAGTTCATGTTTTTGGACAATTTGCATAACTGAAACATGAGATTAGTTTGTCAGATTGTTTATTGCCTGATTTCAATCTGCTTTGTTTGTAGTGGGACACTGCAGGACAAGAACGATTTCGGACAATCACCAGCAGCTACTATCGTGGGGCACATGGGATCATTGTGAGTGATGATTTTCGTGACATTCATTTTCATCTATATAAGATTTTTCTCTTCTATGGGTTCTTTCATGTGTCAGCTGACTGGTTTCTCTCTGCGACAGATTGTCTATGATGTGACAGACCAAGAGAGCTTCAATAATGTCAAGCAGTGGCTCAGCGAGATTGATCGCTATGCCAGTGATAGTGTTAACAAACTTTTGGTTGGAAACAAGTGCGATCTTAAAGATAATAGAGCTGTCTCATATGAAACAGCTAAAGTATAGTCTTGCCATCTATTATTTTTTGTTCTTTTTCAGCTAAAGAATCAGTTTCAATTGTGTTTATGCATTTAGCTGTTGCCAGATATTTCTGTCTCATTCCAATTGTTTGCCCTCATGTTACCATTTTTATTTTGCTTTTCTTTTGTAGGCATTTGCTGATGAAATTGGCATCCCTTTCCTGGAAACAAGTGCAAAGGATGCTACAAATGTGGAACAGGCATTCATGGCCATGG